ACTGTTATAGTTAGTTTGTTAGTGCTCGGACCATTTTAGTGGTGCCGTATGTTTGAAATCTGCTGTTTCAGATAGATTTTTAGCATTTTTTAAAGTTTTCTGCTACGTTTTCTGCATTCATTTCTAAAAGCAACGAAACGCGTTATGATCTGAGCTGGCAACAGCGAACAAAAATTGATCTAAAAACCCCATATGAGAGCGTGTCTGAACCAATTATGGTTGAGTTACGAGAACTGTAGACTAACAGGCTAAAGACCTTCAAATAGCACACAATAACAGCTCTGGTATATTTTTTCTTAAAAGCCACATGGGACAGCCTCACCATAAATCATCTGTATGGATGCATATAATAAGCAAAACCCAAGAGTTACAGAGAAGAGGAGATAGGGGCATGACAGGTACCTCGTCTTGAAATATTTTATCCGTAGCCTTTATAATAATTCATTGTTATACTCATTGTTATTTAACTGTTCTAATATGGTGATCGAGAGCATAAAGGGTTTCACTTTATACAATGTGTCCCTAAAAGCATACATGGCAGTTAAGACCCGACGCATGTTATCCGTTGAGGTAACCTGAAAAGAAAACTTTCTTCTTTCTGCAGTAACACAATTTTCGTGTATAGACTGTAAAAACGTAGGGATTTGGACATCCTTTTTCAAGCTCTGTGTCTTTCTTTATATTTTCTTCTTACCATTTCCGTTGATTGAACATTAGTATGATCAATGCGATTTGGCTTGTGCACGACTACAAGTCATCTCTTATGCATGAGTAGGCTATTCCATTCTTAAGGTCACGCTGGAATCTACATATCATGGCCATGTCAATATTAGTTTTCTTGCTCTCAGCAAATTAGAATAGATGACACTAAAATGGTAATGATACCGCTCCAGGAGATGACTTGATATATCGAAATGTGATGGGGCTCGTTTGTTGTGATAAATGGCTTATCGACGTCAACAAATTACTAACTACAAGCATCTTGAGTTCTTAGTGCAACGTTTTTAAAAGTAAGTATGTTAATAAAAACTAGACAATGAAGCTCTTAATGCTCGATGTTCAGCAAGTTGCGTTCACAAAATATTACAGTGTCTGTTGGGTTCACATGTAGTCAAGGAAGTAGATCTTAAATTCTTTTGGTAAGGCCTAATATTATGTTTAGGCGAATACCTGGCCATGGATATCTTTTCGAAATTGGCTTTCCGATTTAAACACAAAGTCGATGAATGGGGAATTCAGTGACTCAAAAATAAGAATATCTGTCAAAAGCAAGAGTTGTTCGGTTCGAATTCTTTTCTCCTAATTCCATTCCAAAACGTACTATTTCATAGGCTACCAATAAAACATCTTAAATATGATTTAAATCAGCAGTCAGCTTAGATGTCCCAGATTAATTTCTCCATAAAACGGAGTCCTTTAAGTTGATATATGCCAACAACCGTACGCGTCATGGGTTAGATGAACTGGGCAATTCAAGAAAGATCCCGATCATGTTCACCATCAATACCCACAACAAACCTTTGCCCTACTAAACCAGATCAATTAGGGCTCCAGAGTTGCTCTTGTCCTGCGGGAGTCACGGGTTGTTGAATTTGCGGCCATTTCATACAAATATTTCCGTCGTTCTGAACAAGTTGTTCAAGGTTTATTATATGATTCCAGCTGCTCTTTTGTAACTCTTAATGCAGAATTACGTTCAACGTTGTGTGGATAACAGTGAATAAGGGAACTGTCTTCTTCTATTAATTCTGTATTAGAAAGACATAGGCCTATATTTTAGAAAAATGGCAAAGTGATTGAATTATGATATTTCTTTGTTGAATAAGGCAAAGAAGTCTGCTGGGAACTTAGTTACATCGGGGCTTGATGAATCTTTCAATTATTTAAATACTAGGGGAATAGCATGTCATTTGCTTGGAATGCATGTTTATGGACCATGCCTGTTACAGGTTAACCCCATCCGGGTACCTCCGGGTACATGTACGTACATCCGGGCACGCAGCCTGGGCACGCTGCCAAGAAGAGAAAGTTTCTCCAAAAGCAAATTTTAATGAACTGTTGTAGGCCTATAATATGGCCATAAAGCTTACCAAATTAAATAATAGAAATTTTTGTGTAAGACCCCTCATATTGCCTTTTCGCAAACAACTGATGATGTACTTTTGCACCAGAAATGGTTGTCTAGAAAACAGAGATAAAATTCAAACTAGTGTTGGCACAAGGAAAAACCTTAGTTTGTTAACAGGTAAATGTGTTTAGCCTATGACACGTAAGCCCCCATGATTTCCCTTCTTTACGCTGTGTTTGCCACGCTGCAGGTCGACCTGGTTACGCTTTTTATGAGTTAATTTTGTATCTTAGCCAGGGTTGGATACAAAACTCTATTTCAAATCAATTTTTTAAATTCTATTTTGTGTCAGTATGAAAATACAATAGGCCCCTAATTATAGTCTTCTGAAATAAAGAAATTACACTTTGATGTTACATGTATTACCTTTCATGTGGTGTGCACACATTATGATCCCCATTGAAATGTGTGGGCTATGAAAAGAGGTTTCAAGTGCCGAATCTTACATCCGGAGTGGTATATTGATATTTAGATGTAAACATTTGGATGTTCTGGGTGTGTATACATAATTCGTATTCATAATTCATTAAGCCATAGTGTTAATAATTCAATAGCGTAGATTTACTGTCTGTTTTCTGTGTTTATCCTTGCGGAAATCCCTTATAGATTCTCACAGAGAAACCATAGCTTCCGATAGGATACCTATAGAATTCACATATATTTCATACAGGATGCCTATAAAATCCCCATAGCTTTCTAAGGGATACATGTACCTATAAATTTTGTCATCTGTAGGAATGCCCTAAAATCCCATGCAAATATTACAGGTATACTGGAATTCATTCATCTAATAAATTAATGAAATCTTTTAAACATCGTCTTGCCACGAGTTTATTATGAAAAAAAAAAAAAGAATATCAGACATAGATGGTCTGGCTCGTAAAGTACATGTGGACTGATAGGGACGACATAGTTATGACTTAGGTAATCAAGACAGTTATTCTGTACATTTATGTGAGTTTTTTCCTGTAAATGCCCCCGTTACATCAGAAGTAATAACCTGGCTTGTGTGTCTGTTAAAGGGGCTTTAGAATCCTGATTCAATAAAATCTGTCATTTAACAAGATTAATGCGAAAAAATAGTGGCAATAAGGAGTTATCATTTTGCGTCACCGAGAGGCTTAAAATAGATCATGATTTGAAACCGATTCTGGATCGTTGTAATGTAATCAGTTTATCAAAAATGGAAAGAAATAAATACTGCGTTGCTAGCTGCAAAAGGTCATTGTAGATCCTAAAACTGGCAGCAGGGCCCGGTTTTTCTAAAACCAATTTTCATGCCAGCATTCATGCAACGAAGTTACGAAACGAGGGAGAGACAGGCTTTGGGGAGATGATTATGTTAGCTGTGTCTGTCATAGCGCAAGCCACCAGCCTGATATTTTGCCTTATTGCCGAAATGCCCTGATGTTTACCTACCTGTAACAGGCATGGGCCATAAACATGCATTCCAAGCAAATTACATGCTATCCCTGCTATACTTACAAGCGAATACCAACGAGTGCAGACATAAGTGTACTGCAAGATGAAGATGCTCCTATTTTATTAAATGCGACACATCCATATTACTATCAGCATATAGTAGACCGAAACTACCCCTCCCTCCCAAGTAAAAAGACATCCAGCGTTGTCTTCAGGTGTCACATGCCACCCTTTTGCCAACGCTGGGCCAACATCGCCATTGCTTTGTTTTAAGCAGGAGATTGCCTTAATTTAGACGATCCACCGCGGGATTGCTACCCACCTTAATGTGTCGGCTTTAGGCTATGCAGTTTCATTGGTTCAAGCAATTACAATTACGTGTCCATCAATTACTGTTTGAAATTGCCGGGCACTACATGAAAAGGATCTTAAGCTAATTCAATATTTGGTCCACACACTTAACGTCCACCACATGGTTATTCGCTTCGTTTCCTTTGTTCTGTTATTGGTAGTGGACTATGGCGCACTGAAAGCAAATAATAAAAACAAAAAGCTTAATACCCGCCGCTACACGTAGTAAAAACAGTATCCTTACCCATTGAGGCCTAAGGTAATTGAATTAACAAGTTTTAAAATTCAACGGATATTAAACTGTTAAGGATCTCTGAAAAATGTCGGCCATATCCGACATCATATATCCCCTCCATAAGCCTAGTATAATATATTCTGAAACCACTGCTTTACATGAAATAATCTGTCTGGAGTTTTCTTTGTGGCGTAATTAAAATCCATGATTAGAATCTGCGTCTGACATGCAATTTGAGATAAAATGCCTCGTAGGGTCTGTTCATATGCCTCAAAACGTACAAGAGTGTTGAGTCTTGGGGCTATTTTCTACGTAGTTCTGATCAACCACGTCATTGAGTTCCAAGTAAAAAGACACCATGTTCTATGTGGAAAAAAGTAGTTTTCTGTAACGTTTATTTTAGCCGAACGAACGGCTTCATCGTAAATTTGCAGTTTCACCTCGCTAAAATGCAACCTTCTTGTGGGATTATAATACCATTACATGTACCTTCAAAGTGGCGTCGAAGTACATATACATGTACAAGCCATTTAAAAAGAGAATAGGAAGATTGGTAACAACCAGAATTTTATCAATGGTCCTTTGATATCAACGTTGTATGTTGGTTAAGACATTAAAGCTGGGACGTACATTATCACACTTACACTGGGGAATACTTTTAATCTACCTTTACAGTGAATCACTTTAAAGATGCATTTGAAGTCACAAAAGGAGACCAACTGCCACCATATAGTTTTAAATAGTATAACTTAGGGAAATACCAACAGACATCGTTGCATTTTACCCGAAAAATAGATATATGAACAGACTTTTCTGCCTGCTTTCTGTGCTGTATATAAACGGGCAGCTAGGTAGGCCAGATAATTAGGTTGAATTTACGACCAAAAATTTGAAGAAGACGCAGTTTAAAGCTCTTTTAAGTGTATGCCTTGGTACAATGTATGGCGACTTAATTTGAGTCGCATAAGACACTAGTGTAAAACTAGATGTGGTTCATATGTATTACTGGGAATTATTGAAAGTAAGTGTTCGACTACAAAAACTGTTTCAACCCCCAAGTTTTGATTCTTTCCGTGGGAAGCAAGTGAAGAAACGACACCAAGAAATGAAACGCCTCTGAGCAAATCAGCTGTATTTTAACGAATGCTCTATACTTCGACTATGTCCCCTATCGACCATCAATTCATTTACCAGTGCGGTTGATCAAAATGATTTGAAAAACAAAATCAAGTTTTTACCAGGATCGACATTGCCTGAATGCCATTGCCATATATTAGCCAAACATAAGTTTCAAAAATCGATATATATTAGCTCAAATTTCGCTTGTCTTATGGCATATTTTGTTTTCGTGATGACAAGTAGAATCTGACAACTTCGTTAAATATGTAGGAGATGGTGTATTACATTTACATGTAGACTTCGTGTCTTGCAGAGATCATCTAATCTATCGCTATCGACCGCTCTCGTGCTTTCCTGGTAATGACAATATTGTTTCAGGAATCCACTTGCCATGCAACTGTTATATCTGGCACACTCAAGTGATATTCAAACACGCACATGTTAGTAAAGTTAAACGTAATGAGGGTATGCGTATTCTGGTGGCTATGACTGTGTGGTCAACTATTTCCTATTCCTGTCTTTAACTTTCAGAAAAGCGAAACGACATGAGCGATTAGCATCTTTAAGCCAGCCAGGCAACAAGGTATATTAAAAGATTGTTCCAGGTTATCATGTCATTTGTCATAAGCATCAACACCATAACAACGGCATCCTTTGATAATTGCAACAATCTGAACTGATAACAGATAAAGAGAGCAATAAGATGGCAAAGGATTATTCCCAAAGACCACGGAACCATTTTGGTTTCTTTGAACCGAAAGAAATAGGCCGTCTAGGTTCGTTTTAAAGTGGGGAATATATTTATACAATTTTTTAATTTTCAATTACTCCTATCTTGGCTAACAAACGTTATGATTAGTGATACCTTTATACAAGTTCTTAGTTTATGAGCACATCATAGAATTCACTCTCTTAACCACTATGTTAAAGAATAATGCTGTAATTCTGATGATTTATGTTCTGATTCGCTGAAATGTTATATGGGAATAGTCTATCAATCTAACATGATCCGCTTGTTGTGTTCCTTGCTGTCAGGCCTTAAGAAGCGGTGATCCGAAGCCAAGAAGTACCCCAAAGATACCAGCGTCCCGACGTCTGTCCGTCTCCGCTTTCAGGAATACAATGCAGACTCTAGAAGCACGTTTAGAATTGCTTCCAAAGTAATTGATTTGCGTTGTAATTTGACTTTTCTCGTCGCTTTTAATTCGCCGAGACATCAGATTTATTGTCCTTTATTCATTTCCTGTGCCATGATTACAGGTCAAAGCCTTTTGCAAAAACATAATGGATTATCAAGACAAGTTAATTCGTATAGTAAACCAGTTACGGTTGGTTTTTGAAATGTCACTGCGTATAGAAACTAGATTCGACTAAACATCGGTGTCTTCTTTGAGGGGGTTAATCAAAAACGTGATGTTTTGAGGAATTCATTATCATTGCAGACGTACATATACAACGCACACCCACTCTTTGCTTTGAAATCATATCGAGGGGCTTAGAAGAGAGAGGACAAGAATAATCACTGAAGTCACTTTAAGTTTCACGACAAATGAAATTCCGGCAATGCCTTATATGGTTGCGACAGACTACGTAACACCTCCACAGTAGGACAATTTGCCTAGAAGCAGCACACTGATTGGCGAGTTAATCAGAATGATTCGTGGTACAAATTCACGACCAAAAGGAGGTGTAAATCTTTGCTGAAAAGAATTTGCAGCCTAAAGGAACAAAATGCAGAATGCGCAAGCGAACGGACATGGCGGTGCTAAATCAAGCTGTTTGCCATTACGAATGCACGTCTTCTTCCCAACCATTATGTACTACGGTATTATCACTACTGGTGGGTTAGTGGCACTTCCGATCGGCATTATTTCGGTAAGGTAGAATCTTAGACTTATATGTAAATTACTGGGCTCATTTAGGAGGTTATGTAGTTTAAATTTGTTTTGATTTGTTTTCTGAAAATCATATTTGATTTATTAAATTGGACTTTCAGAAACAGACTTTCATCTAACAACTTGCAGCTTTGCTTTTTATCACAGTGATACATTTCAAAGACAAATTCTCTTGTGGCAAGCTAAAGGGCATTCAAAGCTTACTTAACTGCAGTAGTTTAATTTGCTCATAAAACCAAGGATCATTTCACAATTACTTTCAAAAATGTCTCAGCATTTATTGCATTACGTCCAATGGTTATAAGTTCTTGGACTGGAAAGAGCAGATTACAGCATATCACTATATGTTTTGAGAATGAGTGCACCATTTGATGTAGTGTTACCCTGATTTGCCAGATTATTTCGGTTCAAATCACACGTCATTTATCTGTGAGCTAATAGCAAATGTACCATGCAAAACAACATGAGGGTTCATTTTATAAGATAACACTATGACATTAGAGCCACAGCAACCAAAGAGCATGTGCGGTTTGTTTAATCTAAAAATATGGCTTTCAGATGGAGATGCACGGCAGCTGTCTTCTGTACGGCCATGTGAAGTGGGTGAAGAACACTACATTCATTCCAATATTGGACAGACCCGTGCCTTGTCACTTTGTGGTATCTTTACAGGCGATTTCAAGCATCATATGGGGTATTTGTATGGCAGGATATCATACATACAGCTTGCTGATGGAACCAGAGACGACAGCGTAGGTATTTTGGGTTATCATAAGGGCATTAGGATTGGACAACTTTGATATGTACAAGAGTATAGATTTTCGGCAGCCTTGACACCGTGGTTTATTCAAAGTATTTTTAGCACGCCAATGTGCAATAAACAGTTCACCGTGGCATAACACTTTTCGCCTCAAAACCAATTTATTCGTTCGGACTAACATCCGCATTTGAGTATTAGGTCTCAAAAAGGTTTTTCGGGCTTTCAAGACTGTGTTCAGATTAAAAGTTATCGGTCAAAAGCAAGACTGGTCTATCTCTGCGGGGATTCTCGATTAAGTGCACTCAATGTAATCAGCTTAATTGTCTGGCACGCCCCCTCCAGAAGCTACGAAAGATAATTACCCCCTAACTTCTGGAGGGGGCGGGCCAGACAATCGATTACAATGAACTTACGCGAGAATCCCCTCAGAGACAGATCGATCCTGCTTGACCGATAACATTTAATCTGAACACAGCCTAGCTGATACTGTTAGGAGACCCCAGTGACTGCTCAGTAACAAATGAGTTATACCGTATGTTCCGGTACCAGAGTGTTTGGTGCACACATTGAAACCAAAGCATAGTTACACACAGAAACATATATTGCTTTCAGGCCAAAACCTTAAAAATGCCATGTGGCGCTGTCCAGTAAGGTCATCTGAGGCCTTTGAATGCATGTTTTGATAAAGAGAACACGATTTACATTAGACTGGCGGCGTCAGATCCATTTGGAAGTTAGGTGTATCCATTTGTTACTTATTTCCTGTACGATTTGTTGCAAAACAAATAGAACACAATACCTCCTCTATTTAAACTACATAATCAATTCAGTGTCCAATGCTAAGTCTAATACACTGTACCTTAAACGTGTTTGTTGTCAGGGTAACTGAAACTGAAGTGAAAGTTGTATCTATGTTGAAGCAATTACCCTTTGAGTCACTTTTGAGTTTGTGGTTTATATTGAAGGGCATGTAAGTCATTCAGCATTTGGTGTGCTAACTAAAAAGGTATTGGTATTTCTTTGAAGTTAACACGAGATCATACTGTTAAAAAGCATCAGATGCGCTTTTTGTATCAGCTGAAATTTTGCAACTCTGCTTATTTTTCTTGCTAGGTACATACCAGAAAATGACATGAGCATTGGTAAAAGGTTTGATGAAGAAGTAATCTCTTAAGAAAGGGGCTTTCATTTGATGACATATTTTTGTAAAAATACCCATTTGAAATGGCTTTCCTACAAACTTTAGTGTAATCTAGTGTTCGTTACGCCTCATGCTGATTACTGCGCGAAGCATAATGTTAAATCATCTTATACCACTTCATTATGATATGCATTTACCTGAACGAACGTTTTATTGGTTTCTATACTGACGTTGAAATGTGCATACACCCTAGAAAAATCATAAATGTGACAGTAATTTCTTGTGAAATTACGTACGTGTAGAAATCACTTACACGGCAATCTTTATTAAAAGAATTTAAATTCCTCAAGTGCAACGTACAGGAATTAAGCGTTTGAAAAACATCATTGACGGATATGATTAATTTAATATTGTTATTGGAAACCAAAACAATAGTAAATGTTTGAAGTGTAAAAATGATAAGGCAATCATACTTTTCAAAACGTTTATGCGGAGACGTGGATATTGTCTGTTAGACCGTTTTGCTAATGGAATTTTCCTGTCAGTTTCCAATCATTTTTTAGGTGCTTAGAGAAAAACAATTAAGCCATTTGGGTTGAAGTTGCGAAACCAGTTGGGAAAAACAGGGTATTAATGCAATCTGGAGTGCTTTGAATGATAATGGCTATATCTAATTGGATTCTTTAAAGCTTAAAAAACATTTCAGCGATAATTTTTTCTTGTGCAAATGAATATTACATAAATGCTCTGGTCGATCTTAAACTTACATTTAAACCATCAGGAATTTATTTAAAAAATCACTTAAACACTTACAAAACTTTTTTACATTAAAATAGTCCCATGTCTGATGTTTGAACACAATTGGATACAGTTGAACACAACTGGACGATCTTGGTTCTGTTCAGGTTGGCGCCACTCAATAAGTGGAAATCGAGCTTCAAGAGACCACTCACAGAATCAGAAGGAATAGCGACGCGAGATAATTCAGTTACTTGTGACAAAATTCTGACATGTTTTGACTACTAAACAAAATTCGTTCTGTCCTTAGTAAATTTAAAAAACATTTATACTATAAGGATTCGTTTTTAAGATTGCTTTTCTTCTACTAGGTGTACACCGGTTGAAAGGTCACAATACATTATTTGCGTTTCCGCATTTTAGCAGAGGTAGAGATTTCATTGTTTAAAAGATTAAGTATACTATAAAGTGCCTTTTAAATATGAACACATGGTTTCTAAAACAAGATAAGGCAGATGAAATTCAACTACTGGCTTCATAGCTGCCGCCTCTATTTGATGCCATTAGAATTTGATTTGTTTCTAAGTTACTCTAAACATTGGAGAGATAGAGATCTGGCAGCTCTGTTATACTTAATATTGAAGTTTCTTTCACATTGGATAAACATTTTATCATCTTGTTATAAGAGGTATTTTCTTTCTTGTTTAAAACCCTGCTATCAAAAATCTGCTGTAACGTAACATCCTAGTAAACGGTTTTCGCAATTTGAAATCGTAACCATAATTTATAAAAAATCTTGTTTTAAGGTGGTTCCCTCATGTTTGCATTTTTTGTGATCTGTGCAAATTTCGTGCTTGAGTAATTCCTTACGATAACAAATTAGAATTGTCAGCATAGACAGTTTTAAAAGAAACTGACATTAGCCATTAATAAAAATATCGAATATACACTGTACATTTTCATAAATCAGCAGCAGTTTTTTTTTTAAATTTAAACAACAGTCATTTGAAAGTTTGGTGCAAACCGTTTTCAACCTTCTCGGTAGTCGAAACCGTTGTCACAAATGGCTTCGTCGGAAATTTGAAACCTCGAGATTTTCTCTGAGCGAATTGTTGACCGTTGAATTGAACTTGGAAGACGGCGCCGATCGACTTCTGAAAAGAAGCGTAGATCTACGTCATAGGGTTCGCCGACACTAACTTCAAGTGGCTGTTTAATTGTTTTTCTGTGTTTGTCTTGAAACGACAACATGTATATTTATAACATGTATTACTGTAATTTACATTAATGGCGTCATTCTGAATTAACTGGAGTGCCTTTTAACCTCGTTACGGAAAATGCGTTTTGCACAATTTTATTTACACGTATATTTTTCATCACTTCGTAATATAGGGCACCGTGTGTATCCATAATGCATCATTTATACTTTCCGCAAAGACGTATTTTATAATAAAAAATGACTTCAGTGCCTCTAACTGCCACGCTTCACTTTTAACTGCCACGCTTCACTGTAACCCTTGTTGATATTTAATGTTAATTGTTCTTTTTTTTTATTAAAACTTTACTTTGCAAGATTTTCATAGACTTGTCAGAAATGCACTTGTATGACCCTGCACTACTTTGTCTTACATTTGCTTTCTTTTGTTCTTTTCAGTACCGTCTTGAAGCAATTGTGTTTCTCCGTTATCAACATACCTACTTCACTTTTGATGCTGGTGGCAGCTTGCGTCACTAGTGACGGCTATCGGCATTTCTGTGCCAGTCTGATGAAGACCTCAAGAATTGAGAGGTATTTGAAAACTCATTTATTGTTCTTCCTTCAGGCAGCATTGACAGATAAATCAATTGAAAGCTTAGAGCATCTCTATCTTGCCTCCATATTTCCCAAGAAAAGTCATCTAGTGAATCAGCAATCACAATCTGATTCCCACAATGGCCACAGGGTACCAATACCCCTGAAGTGAAAACTATTTTTCCCCAGGTTAAAAAAAGATAGCTCATATCCTGGCTGTCTCATTATTGGAAAATTGAAGATACCATGTAGATAGGAATTTACCGGCATCGAATAGTTTGATCATCATGCGATGTCAGTTAACAACATGGGGCCAAAATGCTATTGAATTGAAACGCATTCTTCAAGCGTTTTCAAGACGCTCTTTACCCGTTAGCTAGTTGTAAGATTAGAGTAAATTCCATATTGATGAGGGGTTGTTCGACATCAAACAGCTCAGAGATTAGACTTTTAAATCTGCCATTGATTGAACTATGAATGCTCCCCGAGTTGCTATGATAGATAATCAGTCTTGTAAATTTACTTGCTAATTGACAGCATGGGAATTCCGCGAAAGTCCATTCGGTTTAGCTTCCGTCTTTGAATGGCTTAATGCGAACTCATTGCACTGTGAAACTTGCCATCTTTTTCTGATCAAAGGTACCTCAGATTACAGCTTGCACATTAGCCAGTTTTTTTTAAGTTAACGAGGGGTTCGAGTTTAATGATCCTCAACCAACGTTTTGTCTATCAGCATATTCATTTGATTTCACTTCCGTCTTTGAATGGCCAGTGCGTATTCATTACATTGTACATATTTGCCGTTTTTATTTTGCTAAAAGGTGCCTCGGTGTACAGATTGTATTGAATCCTTTTTTTTTTAGTTTACGAGGGTCTTAAGTAAATTAATTTTGAACTCACATTTTTTCTCCATATTTAATCAGCTACTCACCGCATTGTCAACGCCCATGAGAAATGCTATTATTATTTTGAAAATAAAAATACAAGGAGCTATTTCCCATTGTTTTCATATTCTGTAATGATAAAATGAATGTTTCAGGTGCGCCGATGGGGAAAACGACGCATGGCGACAGAGCTGGTGGTTTAAAACACGAGAGGACAGTTTTACTCCAAAATTTGCCTATTACTACCAGATGGCAGAGGCAAGTACACTCGTTGGCAAAATTCATAAAATCATTTATCTTAGTTTTTATAATAAATATTAAGTTCAGCACTAAACCAGTAGCCAGAGGTTGAAAGATACATGTATGTAAAACATCGCTTAAGACCAGACAAGGCATTTCGTGTGCCTTTGGATGGTTCCATGCTTTCCTGTTGACAACAGGAATTTGATGGTATACTTGTATGAAGGGGGGCAAAAATTACCATTGAATTCCAATATAAAGATTTCATTTTCTTAATTTCAGGCAGCAATGTGGGCCAACTTTGGACTGTGGACGATGCAGGCGCTTTTATCAACAGTGCCCATGATAATACAGCGCCGCCTTCTGGTTTCAAAACTTATAGCTGTGAGATACAAGCGGAGCATGACTGCACGAAGTTCGCTTACGGGACTGTCATCAAATCCGGGCTCACCAAGAAGAATGAGCACGATAAGTGAAGTAAATTACAAATTTTCAATACAGGTTGGTGATCTAGAAGATATCGAGGAATTATCGTCAGATGGAGAGTTGCTGGAGTTGCCCGCCATTTCTAAACGTGACTACAACGATTCAGTAACCAGTGAAGATGAGGTACATCAAAGTTTGAAATCGGATCTTAAAACAAAAGAACATGAAAGTGTGTTTTCACAAGAGCAATTTGAAAAAGAACCTTGTGAATGCTCAAGAAGAAAAGCAGGATTTTTATATTGCAACACGTCAACTACACTGGTCAGCATGGATGGCTCGCTGCCGGTGGAAGTCAACTCAGACGCTCAGCTTTCTGTCTCCTGCAGTTCTTGCAATACAAAAGATTATACGAATGAGACACACACGAGGGATGGGTCTTGCGTTAGTTCCAAGCATTCGGAAATATCTATCGACAGTGAGAAAGAAAAAATTAACAATGTAATTTGTGCGAGTGGTAATATTGAACAGATCGAAAATTGCAGTCACTTCTCAAATACGTTTCCATCAATCTCGGAACGAATGACTAAAAGTGTGGTTGAATTCACGATTGGTGAGGATGGTGAACAATTGCAAAACGCAAACGATTCACCTGAAATAAACGATATGTCCTTTGAATCAATTACAAATTGCCGCCTGTACCGCGGGGGCGACACTGACAAACCTGGGTCATGGCCCATGCCAAGAAAAGCTTATCAAAATTCAAGATTATCAGAGAAACGCTAAACACGTCATTCCGTTCAATTTCTTTCCTGTAAAATGAGTTTTATACGACACAAAACAGTCAGATTCTGTCACGCAATAATTACCAGACAGAACGCTAAAATACTTAAACCGTGTTTGAAAAGGAGATGTTGTATGTTTTTTTACTAATCAAAGAAATGATAAAACTATCTTAACACCTCAATTTACTGTCATTTCTACATATAAAGAACACTTTAATCAAATACCCAGGGTTTGTGTTATTCATAAGCAACACAAATATGTTCAGTTTACTATATTCATCTACTGGCTAACCAGCTATCTTCTCTACTTAAATCAACTGATTAGCTACACGTCAGGTACATAAAATCACTTTTTTTTTTTTTTGTTTATAACCATAAAAAATAATAATGGTTCCATTGCTTCTTTGTAGGTACTAAAAGTGTCATTCTCCCAGTGCTTCACACATTTTCTATGATACAAATCCTGATAGTTTAGCTAATTTCTTTTTAATATTAAATAATTTTACGGTTACATAATTAAGTATACAATAAAGCAAATAGTTTATATCCAATATACTACTACACAAATAAAGAAATTGAGTCCTGAGTTTCAGTTCATTTTGCAAATTAAAATCCAAAATAATTCACGGTTTGAAAACCAATATAATTCAACATTCACACCATTATCCTTTCCCTCATATCTCATTGACCCTCTCTGATTTCTTCCCCTTCCACACTTTCTGTATTCTGAGATACAATAATTGTCTCCTCATCCATGGAGACCTCCACCAATTCCGTCTCCACCACCTCCTGGTCACCTGTGGTCACTACATCCTGACCCTCTGCTGGGTTGACTGCTATCAGAGTAGAGCCCCCACTGGACCCTGCAGTGGTCAGCATGACGCCGACACCCCCCGAGATCAGCTTCTGGTCCATGTGACTGGTCAGTATATGTAGGGCCAGGGAGTGCTGGTCAGGAAAGGTCTCCTGGCAGGTCTCACAGCCTAGGATAGTGGACGAGGGCTCTGAGGTCAGGTCCCCAGTGCTGGTGGTGGCCATGCTGGTCAGAAGTGAGGAACTGGCTAATGCTGCTGCAGGAGAATCTAAAATAAAACCCAGGAGAAGTAATGGAATGAGATATCTAATGTGTGCCTCACTGAATAATAACTACAATGCCAGCTTGATGATATATTAATTTACAAGTGACCAAACATTTTATAAAAACATTGTCAACAATTGGTCCCTGTTATACCTTATGTTCCCATCTGCAGTAAACTCTGCCAACAATGTCAGTGTAAAGCTGACCTAAACATAGCATCTAAATCCAGCTAAAAAAAAAAGTACATGACATCTCATAGCCTGTAACTCACCATGAGAAGTAGTCACAGTTTGTGTAACTTCTGTCATTGACAGGTTATCATTGCTGTGTTCTGCATGGTACTTGCGTATGTGTCTCTGCAGCTGGAACAGTGCCTTGAATATAGAGCCACAGAGGCCACACTCAAACTGCCTCTCATCATGCTGCATCTGGACGTGTGCTTCCAGGGCATGCTTCTGGGTGTAACCCTTCCCACAATGAATGCATGTGTATGGCTTCTCCACGTCATGTGTGCGCATGTGAACCTGGTCAAGAACGAGGGGTTAAAATAATAATAAACTATATCAAATGCAAGATTATGTCTCTAGTCAGGCTTGAAAGGTTAGCATTTTAGGGAAGCACATCACGTGACTTGTCTAAAACCACTGTTATTTGAATAAAACTGATACTTATATATAACATATGATACCTGGAAGAACTCAAAGTGACAAAGAATCATTTAGTGATGTAACTTACCCTCAGAGCTTCCTGCCTTTTACATGAAAATCCACAAACATCACAGGAATGAGGCTTAGCATCAGAATGCCTCAACTTGTGGCGCTGAAAGTCAAAAGAAAGTGTATTTATTAAGCCACTTGCCTAGCCAAAACTTTAATTTTTCTTATTTATCACTTAACACTCTAATCTGACCAATAAAATTCAAATGCAACACTTAATCTTTTATCACATATTTAACATTTCTTATTTCAGCATAATGCATTCAAATTCAACAGAGCATCTGGCCACGTATCAAACAGCGTCCCCTTACATCTAATGAAAATGCATTACTGTAATGGTTCTAATAAAATTGATTACTGTCAATAAGTACTGGTTAATAGATACCACTGGGTTTTAATGAGCACAGTACAGACAAATGCAGTCAAGAGACAGATCTGATTACCTCCAAATGGACTTTTAACTTGAAAGACTTTCCACATACGTCACACTTAAATGGTCTCTCAGCAGAGTGGATAACACGCATATGGATTTGCCAGCTGAAACAATTGGTTTTAAATACATAATTTAAAGCTAGTTGGCATAATTACTTTGTTTACATGAATCTTTTCTGGTTTTTTGTTTAAAAAAATTAAATAATTTCCCTTTGCAAAATAATGCATTATTTCTAAATTATCCTTTTGTGTACTTTTGTGTAAATTTATAGTAAATGTTGAGCTGCTGAAAAAATTTCTGGACAAAGCTATTTCAAACTAGAGGATCAGAGAGGCGATACCGCCTCCGAATATTGTACCACCAGCTGGAGCAAGCGCATTCGTATAGACCCCCACATACACAAAATAAGGGGTGCAGCCACCAGTCTTGTGCTTGACAAGCTGTAAAAATGCAATCAACAAGAATTTTCAAAATATGCAAAAAATATATATAACTAAAAATGGTGCAATCAAAGTTAAGTTCATTGTAAGGTAGGTCAAAGGTCAATTTCAAGGTCACAGTAAATTGCCAGTATATGACTTCCTATCCAACTTCAATAGTAACTATGGACCTATCTCTGCCAGTTTTGGAGATAAAAGGGAAGCAAAATTTGCAAAGTTCAGTTCATGGTGAAAAGTAGGTCAAAGGTCAATTTCAAGGTCACANCGCCGACACCCCCCGAGATCAGCTTCTGGTCCATGTGACTGGTCAGTATATGTAGGGCCAGGGAGTGCTGGTCAGGAAAGGTCTCCTGGCAGGTCTCACAGCCCAGGATAGTGGACGAGGGCTCCGAGGTCAGGTCCCCAGTGCTGGTGGTGGCCATGCTGGTCAGGAGTGAGGAACTGGCTAATGCTGCTGCAGGAGAATCTAAAATAAAACCCAGGAGAAGTAATGGAATGAGATATCTAATGTGTGCCTCACTGAATAACAACTACAATGCCAGCTTGATGATATATTAATTTACAAGTGACCAAACATTTTATAAAAACACTGTCAACAATTGGTCCCTGTTATACCTTATGTTCCCATCTGCAGTAAACTCTGCCAACAACGTCAGTGTAAAGCTGACCTAAACATAGCATCTAAATCCAGCTAAAAAAAAAGTACATGACATCTCATAGCCTGTAACTCACCATGAGAAGTAGTCACAGTTTGTGTAACTTCTGTCATTGACAGGTTATCATTGCTGTGTTCTGCATGGTATTTGCGTATGTGTCTCTGCAGCTGGAACAGTGCCTTGAATATAGAGCCACAGAGGCCACACTCAAACTGCCTCTCATCATGCTGCATCTGGACGTGTGCTTCCAGGGCATGCTTCTGGGTGTAACCCTTCCCACACTGAATGCATGTGTATGGCTTCTCCACGTCATGTGTGCGCATGTGAACCTGGTCAAGAACGAGGGGTTAAAATAATAATAAACTATATCAAATGCAAGATTATGTCTCTAGTCAGGCTTGAAAGGTTAGCATTTTAGGGAAGCACATCACGTGACTTGTCTAAAACCACTGTTATTTGAATAAAACTGATACTTATATATAACATATGATACCTGGAAGAACTCAAAGTGACAAAGAATCATTTAGTGATGTAACTTACCCTCAGAGCTTCCTGCCTTTTACATGAAAATCCACAAACATCACAGGCATGAGGCTTAGCATCAGAATGCCTCAACTTGTGGCGCTGAAAGTCAAAAGAAAGTGTATTTATTAAGCCACTTGCCTAGCCAAAACTTTAATTTTTCTTATTTATCACTTAACACTCTAATCTGACCAATAAAATTCAAATGCAACACTTAATCTTTTATCACATATTTAACATTTCTTATTTCAGCATAATGCATTCAAATTCAACAGAGCATCTGGCCACGTATCAAACAGCATCCCCTTACATCTAATGAAAATGCATTACTGTAATGGTTCTAATAAAATTGATTACTGTCAATAAGTACTGGTTTATAGATACCACTGGGTTTAAATGAGCACAGTACAGACAAATGCAGTCAAGAGGCAGATCTGATTACCTCCAAATGGACTTTTAACTTGAAAGACTTTCCACATACGTCACACTTAAATGGTCTCTCAGCAGAGTGGATAACACGCATGTGGATTTGCCAGCTGAAACAATTGGTTTTAAATACATAATTTGAAGCTAGTTGGCATAATTACTTTGTTTACATGAATCTTTTCTGGTTTTTTGTTTAAAAAAATTAAATAATTTCCCTTTGCAAAATAATGCATTATTTCTAAATTATCCTTTTGTGTACTTTTGTGTAAATTTATAGTAAATGTTGAGCTGCTGAATAAATTTCTGGACAAAGCTATTTCAAATAAATGTAGATTTTCTTCCACCAGTGAAAACATGGGCACTATTTGTTTGAATATTTGTGTTTGTCCTTTACTTATGGTTTCGCTTGGGTTAATAGGGAGACATAAAAGTTTATCTTCTTTGTCAATTGCATAAAAAAATAAGCTGATACTTAAACAGCAGAGCAAATCAAGGGGCTGATATATGTTGTCACATCTAGCACAGCCCCATTCCCTCATGTAGTCTGTAAAGAGCCAGAATATTGGCCAGTTTAAGCATCAGTTGAATTTTCAAACTATTGACAAAAGAACCTCTACATTTTTAGTAAATGCTATAGAGATTTTCAAATCTGTATATATTACCTTCCTTTGCTCTGTAAAACTTTATCACACATGTCACACTTGTAGCCATGAAATTCAGGGTCATGCAGCTTCTTGTGTGCCCTGATAAAGAAATCTTTGTATAAATATCTATAGTTATAAGTACAGGCTCTAAAGTATCCCCTATGTGTAATAGGCCATCCAGTGATTAAATATGTCAGAAACCCAGACATAATGTACAGAAAGCACAAGGATAATTAATGAATCTTTGTATAACACTGACTCTTTAACATAACAAATACTTACATGAAGGAAGAGTGGCTTCCAATTTGTTTATCACAAATCTGGCAGTAGTATTCCGTAGTGTGGCAGCGAATATGCATGTTCAAACTCTCCTTTGTCTTGTAGAGCCGGTTACAGTACTGGCAATGGAATTATAAAAGGAGGTGAAATGTATAAAAAATTATTTGATGCATTATTAAATATATTGCAACACATCTGCAATAACTTTATGTACAAATCTGAATACATCAGTATAAGAGAATGAGCCATCATGTGCTTATTTGAAATATATGCAGGTGATATTTGGCCTTATCTTTAACATTTCTTGAAAACTTTAGACATAAGCTCTTGATGTCTGTGCTTAATATGTGCTTTAACTGAGCAAAGGATAATTTAATGACGATTTTTTCATGGAAAATTCTGCAAGTATAATACAACACTTACAGGACAGGGAAGAGTCCGCTCGTTTACATGGGTCCTTTGATGACGGTTCAAGTCTGCTACCACTTTAAATGACTTGTCGCAAATATCACATTTGAACATGGAAGCTACATTTGAAAAAAAGAGATATTTGTAGTTTATCAATAAAAAATTTTAAAAATACACAATAACATTATTTCATCAATTATACTTATAATGTACATGTATGCTCCATAATTAATTGAACTACGATAGCCTGTGAAGCAATAATGTAGGTCCTTGTTAGAAGTGACAATTATACAAAAACTTACCCCCATCAATCTTTGTGTGCATCCGCTTGATGTGTTTACTGACATCATCCTTATTGTTAAAAGCTTTGTCACAATGAGTGCATTGGTAATTGCGTTCATTTGTATGAGTATTGTAATGTCTTCTCAGCTGAAAGTTAATAAACATGAATCCTAGAAAAAGATCACCTGATCCCAGAAAAAAGGGTAGGGTGGAAAGCACATTGTGTTCAGCTACCACTGCAGTAATAAGACCAATTCCAGATAAATAATGTTACTCACATTTGTTTTGATCTTGAACCGTCTGTGGCACAGGGTGCAGGCAAATGGGAGGTCGTCAGAGTGAGTCTTCTTGTGGAGATACAGAGAACTGCGATGACGAGCTGTGAGAAGAGAAAAACATCCTGCGGTAATCTTTTCAATGTGCAAAAATTATCAAACTTTCAGATACATAATTTTAAAATCACAAAGTTATATTTCTATGTGGTATTTGTGGTGCTTTTACTGCATAGAAAGGAACTAGTGAATAGTTTGTTTTTTAATTTTGTTGCTTGCACCAAAAAGGAATATTCTAATTTTAAGAAAATAATAAATACAGTATCTGTTAAATTCACAATTTTCTTAAGAAAAATTTCACATTCAGTAGCGAAAGAAACACTTATTTATATCTTCTTAAATCAATCTATGTTTGTATACTTGGTTCTTTATATGACTCCAACATTACTGTTTACTATCAACCTACTGCAAAAAGTTCTGGTGACAAAAAGAACAAGAACAGACTTACTTGAATAGTTGCAAATGTCACAACTGAAGAGTTTCACATCTTTATGTTCATTCAACATGTGATCACATGCTTCTGTTTTGGTGTGATTAACTTTACTGCATAGCTTACATTCCCACAATTGGTTAATACCATCTCCAGCTAAAAATACAACAGCAGAGTCACTAATCTATGAAATTGTTGTGCTATATGCAGTAAAACAATAAAAACAAAATGAACTGCTTTATTTGGCAAATTACTGAACATAATGTATTATATATACTCAAAATCCCCAAAAACAATTTTTTGTGATAGCAACTTAAGTGCTACTTTTTCAAATACTTACAAATTACTTGAAAAAAATAATAAACTGGAGGATCAGAGAGGCGATACCGCCTCCGGATATTGTACCACCAGCTGGAGTAAGCACATTCGGATGGAAGCCCAAAAAAAAAAAAAAACACCACCACCACCAGTCTTGTGCTTGACAGGCTCTATAAAATGCAATAAACAAGAGTTCTCAAAATATGCAAAAAAACATCTGTAAAAATGGTCCAATCAAGTGGTTTTTCCAATTGACCTATATTTTCCTAGCATTGATCACTTCTGTGATTTTCTAGACAATNGGGAGAGAGAGAGAGAAAGAGAATTTCTAAATTTTGGACTGGGCAGAATGATCCACAAAATGTTTAACATATTACCAGGTTTAAGCAGGAAATGAGGTAATAAGTCATTTTCTATATGTGATGAAAGTTTATCCCTGCGCTTCATCTTTATCTTGGCCTTCTGCGCTCTCTCCATGGCAGAGATCAGCTCTTCCTCTTCAGTTGTCAAACGGGTCTTCTTATTTAACGATGTTGCCTCCCCATTCACATCCTCTACGTCTGTTCCAGACCCCAAAGTATCTTCTCCTGCAGTTTGCAGATCAGTTTCTGCTTGCTTCTCAGTTCTAAATCATGAGATAATTTTCAACAGATGACATAGTAAAATACTTATAAATTGCTTTCTGCAAAATGTAATATAGATCTCTTCAACCCCCATTCCCATACTCTCTCTTCTGCTATGTGGTAAGATGAAAATTATATTTTATCTTCATGCACATTCCTAGACTTGCTTGAAGACATTTACTGTTACTTACAAAATACCAAATACATGATTTATTTTTAAAAAAATCAATTAGCAAAAACTCACTGCAATTGCTTCTTGATGTAGTCCACGGTTCTTCTATTTGTCTTCTTTGCCCCTACCAGCTTTGTTTCTTTGCCCCTACTTGATACATCTTGTCCTAACAAAATATTTTTTAATAAATTCACTGACAGTAAATGGTTTAATATCAAGTTAAACCTAGTCAGTTTCTGAGTTATTTAACATATTTTATTGCTATATGAACATACACTAAGATGTACAGCATCATGACACTGATATCTGACTTACCCTCTATGTGTACTCTCTGGATGTGGTTTCTCAGAGTTTTACTCTCATGAAATGCCATGTTACATTGTGGACACTCAAAATCTCTCACATCAAGGTGGTACTTCATGTGCATCTTCAGCTGAAATCAAATTGACCTATTTGAACATTTGCTGACAGGTGCATTTTGTTTCAAATATTTAAATGGATAATGATTAAAAGGTAAATGTTATCTCCACATCAGACATCTAAAAAACTTTGTTTTATCATCAAATTACCTTCTGCTTATAGCGAAAGTCTTTTCCACATACATCACATGAATAAGGCTTGACAGTTGAGTGGGAGGCAAGGTGGTTCACTACTCCGACCTTCAGTTCAGCTAAAAAATATTAAAGTCAAATAAATTTTCTTTGTTTATTCTAAACTTGTTTTAATTTACAATTAATGTTAATAATTCAAAGGCAAAAAATTCTAATAGAAGTTCAAGCAAATTACAGTTAAATTATATGTAATAGGAAAAAAATGTAAATAATTTACACTGAGGGCAGCATCCCAGATGTATTAACTATGTATGGAATGATGTTTCCATCTGAATTCAGCACCCTTCAATACAGCTGGGGTTATATTACTCAAGAACTGGGGTAATATATCCTACATAGCTTCCACATGCAGGATTACCACATTTTGCTTATGTGCCACATTACAGTTTTGCCTTTAATGACAAATGACTTCAAAAGAAAGTTGTCCTACCTGTAAAGTCACATTTAGGGCACTTCCAAGGTTCAAACCCCCCATGTTCTTCTCTAAGATGTGCTATCATTGTTTTCTTCATGGGGGAGGTGAAGTCACACTGCTTGCAGGAATGCATTTTAGTTCCAAGAATACCTGGTTTATCTGCAAGAAATAGACATTTTTATAAGTTTTTGGCTCACTATTATTCAATGAAAAAAATAATAATAATGAAAAGAAAAATAACTGAAAGTTCATGCAAATTACAGTTGTTATCAACACTTTACTCTTGTAATATCCTACTTTTCAAATATCTACTTTCGAAGAGTTTTCTCACCTTCGGCATTGGTGTAAACAACTTCACTGTAGTCTTCATACTTTGCCACTGGTTTTAATGACTTAATCAGCTCTTCTATCTCTGGGTCACTGCGGACAGGCTCTGGATCAAAATCTAATTTGACGTCTAAAAGTAAAGATATATAATATATATATCAGAAAATACTTGTCAATCTATATGCTTTGTTGGATATCTTTAAAGACATCCTACATTCTAAGATACCCTGCATTATTTTTTAATAATCTTTATGTAAAAACATAAAAATGTGAACCAAATCATGTGCCCAGATTTTTCATTAATGAAGATTATTTGTTAACAAAAAGAAATCTTCAAAGTAGTTTACAATCATTATTACAAAACCTGTAAATCAGGTAGGGGTCACCTCATAAAACCCACAGAAAATGCAGTGTAACAAACAAAAACTGCCGTAACAACCTGAAACAATTTCTGGAAAACAGTAACCAAAAAAAGGTCTAAGTACTACCCAACTCCCCCCCCCAAAACAAACAAACACACACACACACACACACACACACACACACACAAACACACACACACACACACACACACACACACAATTTTCACCAGTAGCAATGAATATAGTCACCTTCTTGTTGTTCTTCTTCCTGTTGTTCTTCTGGTTCATTAACCAACTCCACCAGGATTTTATCATCATGCTCAGAATCTGCAATCAGTCGGAATGTGTAAGAAATCTTTGGTTCTGGTTTCACAGGCTTTTCACCCTCTTTCACAATGTTTCTACTTGCCTCTGCTGAGCTACTGCCTGGCTCTGGGAATTGAGAAAAATAAATAAATACAGTAAGTGAAACATATTTGCAAACAAAATGACACTAACTGAAAACTACAAAAACTTACTTTGACTACCAACTTTGATATATTCTCAGTCTGAAATTAACAATGATAGTATATTTCACATACATACCAGGCGGAACAATACAATACAATACAATAAAGTTTTTTTTCTGTCTGATAGAGTGAAAGTACAAACATTAGTTAAGTAGCTATTCACCCACAGAAATAAATTAAATAATGATACAACTGTACACTGTTTACTACCTCTATTTCTGACTACTTCTAGTGATTAAAATTACAACAGTAATTTGTAGTTGGCATAGTATGATACATGATTGTTTAACTTAACATTAAGGCATCATTAGAAGTATGAAATTAATCCCTGCCTCACAAATCAGCGGCTTATTAACAGGGACTGACCTGGTGTGGATTCTGGGGCAACACTGTCTACAAGTAGAACATTGGACCTAGGAGTGCCCTTATCATCATCCTGCTGCAAAGTGGGCAAAGGATCAGGCACAAGGCTGCTTTCTTCTGCAGAAGAGGTACTCTGGACAGCTGGTTGGGCATCTTCACCAGCAGAGAGTTCTATGACCTGTACTTTCTTTGGTGGTGAGGAGAGGGCAGAGTCTGATGCAACACCTTTAGGCTCTGTGATCTTGTATACCACTAATGTTCTCTTTCTGCCTGGAGCTTCTGGACCGTCTTCTCCTGCACTACCAGCTGCAGTGGTGCCATCTTTTGTCACATTTTGAGATACTATGGAGAGACCTTTTGTCATATTTTGTGATGCTGTGGTGACTTCCTCTGGTGCATCACTTGCTGACTTATCTCCCAAGTCAGATGCAGTCCTTTCACCCTCACTTTCTCCTGTAGTCCCCTCCGATACCCTCCTTTTTTTGTTAGACAAGACATTTTTACTTGGCTGCAGAGTGGGCAGATCCACATCTTCACCACTCTTTCTCTGAGACCTTGTCCTGGTCACTCTACCAGAAGGCTTCACCACAGGTTTGACAACGGGTGTGTCTGAAGTCTTGGATTCCTTTGCCACTGAATCTGATTGTGCCTGGGCTGATCTTCCACTTTTTCTGGTAGATGTAATCTCCTTTGCCTCTTGATTTCCTGTACTCCTGGGAGATTTAGCTCTTGTAGATATTGATGCAGGTTGCTTAGCTAGGACAGGGGACTTGGGAGATGCTGAGAACGGGGATACTGATGACAAACCTGCACTTCTACCTCTTCTTGGAGAAGCATTACCCCTTCCTGATCCCAGCACTTTAGCTTGTCCATGTGCAGGACTACTCCTTGTCTGCCGGACTGAGTCACTAGCAGCTTGAGTAATCTTGTTTGTGGTTGGCGATGTTTGTGCCTTTGTTGGAGAGTCTGGTACTGCTGCAGTCTTTCGACCCTTCTCTCCAACTCCCAAAAGCTCATGTGCAGTCTTGACATTTCTTTGCCTGGAACTTCTTCTAGTGGAGAACTGGTTTTGTTCTGCTGAAATTTGAGGGTTAAAATATAATAATCCATATAATTTTGAAACTAATGAAGGGTCTTGTCCTAGAGACAGCCAAATTATCTCTTTTATAATTAAATATAATAATCTCAATAATATTTTAGAATGAATATCACTGCAATCGGTAATCTAATAAGGTATTTTACCACTTCATTAAAGCTACATGCAGCAGGATAATACTATAAATTTAAGTAAAATACTTTGTGAAACCATTTGGTGCTGACCTGCTACTGCAGTGCCACAACTGGAACAAAACTTCCCATCCTTACATCCTGTACAGCATTCCTGTCCAAAAAAAAACATCAAACTGTATATGTGAAATATTCTTCGTGTAAAATTTTCACAATGGTTTCTAAAGGTGAGGGATAAATTAACAAGAAAATTATAAAATGCTTTTTGTATTCAGAACGAAAGGCCATTACCAATTTTCAATTTATGATTAAAATTTACAGGTATTGAATAATGTTTAGTGTTCTCTCAGACCTTAACATCTGTTGTCTTTAGGTTGTCTGATGGCGTTGTCTCCTCTGTAACTTTTGAGCCACAGTTTGGGCAGAACTTGAAGGAAGAATCCAGGTGAAATCCACACACCTTTCCATCAGTGCCCTTTTGTTGACACTTCATCTTCAGGATGAAATTTACTGAAGTAGAGAACTGCTTGATAATTAATCTAGCTCTTTTTAAAGCAAAGTAAAAGCCGAGGTGATTAGCATATCAAGTGTTTAGACTTGTTTTGACAAAGGGTATTAAATAAAAAGGTGCTCAAACATTTGGATGTTATCACCTTGTCTACCACATCAACGTGAGCAAGAGAGAGAAAAGGAGAGAGTGAGAGAGAGGAAGTGATTGAGTGAGTTTATGGCATTGTTTAAATATTGAATACCTTTAAGTCGTTGATTCAAAATTCCTGCTTCAAAGCCCTACAGTATTATGGTTGATCGGCGGCAAGATATCTCAATTTTCAACACCACCAAGATTACCGACGCCATTTCCCTCCCATTTTGTGCGACTGCGTAGTAATCTGTGATGTGAGTGTGAATATGGAACATTGTACTACAAAAGTTATAGCTTTGTTTAAGGTTTACAGAAGACATATCTAGAGTTGATGTATAGATATAATTAACACTACCATTTGCATTAATATTACATGATATATTAATTGAACTAAATTGTCCTCGCCCATGCGTACGATAATCAGTGGGTAATTCGGTGCTGACCTATGGCTGCAAGTTAGCCTACCATTGCAAAGTGTCTGTCGTGTATTCACTCCTTGAAAACAATGCATTTTATATCATTTTAACTGATGCATGTATTTTATTTGAAAGCTTGATTATAGTAAATTTTAATATTTGAAGGTTTGTTTTGATAATTTCAGGATTTTATAAATATCATTAGTTTCCACTACTGCTAGTAGGTGGCGCAGCGATCTAAGGTGCAACAAAAATCTCCGCTAGCAAAAATGTAAAACCGAATGTAGAATCTGCAAGGAATAATTTTTGTTTAAATCACCGCATTTGCAGTCGGACAATTCCAAAATGACAAGGGAAGGGATGAAGGTGGTGGGTGGGGTACCATCTGATATCAGGGGCTTCTAAAATAGTAAACGAAATTAAGATATCAGTGATACAATAATTTTGTAACATAGCCTACACCGGTAGCCTACTAGCTCACCCTGGCTGTGGTTACTTTAAATAATGCATCTGTCTTTGTGTTGATTTAAAACAAACCCCCGAAAATATAAAATATCGGCAATTTCTCGTTGCAATGTGTAAGCGGAGGCAACTCAAAGCTTTTATCGTCAATTTACCACCTGTCTATTATGAGGTGAGATAGCAATCGGTAGGCCTGTGGTGCGTAACTTTATCCCTGAACGAGATTTTGTCACGAAAATTAGCAGTTGAATACCAGTGTATGGGTTACAGTCCGTGCCGTCATTTTGGTTTAAAAGTTTTTGTTTTGGAGTTATGAGCCCCTAGCTACATGTTTTCATTTAACGGCATTATAAAGGCATTATTTTGCTTTATCAACAATAATACTCTCTAAAAAAACGCTGAGAGGGTTTTGGAGTACTAAATCGTGTCATTAAATCGGCTTGAAAACGGTGACCGAGGGTGCTCAGGTTAAAAAAAATTGAGATACCGATTTTCAGTTTCTACCCCCAAATCGCAATTATGACGTCACCCGTAAGATGACATTAATTTAAAGGTACATACGAACTGAGCATCGGTGGAGCGTGGATTCCCAGTAACACATGTAAAACACTTCTACTGGATTCTTATATGACTCAAATAAATTCGACATGCCAAGGGATAAACTGAATAGATCACTCGATCAGCCATAAAAGACCTTTAGACTGCTCCTTTCTTAAAATTTTTGGTTGTAAATTTAAGACATACAGCTTAGAATGCCAGCAGAAAAATCCGTTCAAACATCATTTTCGGGTAAAATTAAGCAATGCCTTTTGGTAATTCCATTAGTTATACTACTTGAACCTATATGCTGGCATTTGGTTGGTTTTTGTGACAAAAAATTGACTTTGTATGCATCTTTAATCACTGACCAATGGAAATCTATCTATTACCGAAAAGACTGTACGGCAGTAAATTAGCAGTTTTGGGCGAGGGGTGACAATATCCTTTAAGTTAACTTGTCTTTATAAGGTAAAATAGATCTCCTCCAGTTAAAACAGCATTTTCGTCCCTGTTTGCTTTAAACTTATTAGTGTTGTCAAGGACGGTTGGGTCGGTGCCGACCCGCCGTGCCCCCCCCTTCCCCTATCGCAAAAAACGCCAACCCATAAGAACAGTTGGAAAGGGGTTACTGGCAAAAGCACCTTCTTCGGATTTAAAACGGAAAACTATTTTATAGAATTTAAAAGCTCCGGAACTTTTACAAAGTAGGCCTAATAAGGCAGTGATGGGATTGAGAGCGAAAAGAACCTTATACCGGTGTCACGTGAAGAAACCGTCGTCGTGAATAAACCGTTCTGACGGATTATTCACGCGGGGTTAGCAGTCTGTTGACTTAGGCCTACAGTAAGTAGCTGCACATGCATTTCCAACATTTTCCCGTAGAGAAAGTTGTAGTATTATCAAAAACACAATTTCTTTTTAATGAAAATGACTGAACTCTGAATTGAAAGAACATTGTAGAGTGAAAACATTTACACTACGAGTCTTAGATCTACCACGTTTTTCACACAGAGCAAAACAGTTCAGTCACGATCAAAAGCTCACTTCCAACATTCCCCTGTATACTGTAGTAATAAGATGATCAAATACATACTCTCTCATGACGAAAACCACTGAATTATGAATTGAAAGATCATAGTTCAGTGCAAACATAGCAACATAGCGCCCACTTAGGACGACATTGTCATACCGGAAGTTAATTCTTTCAAACTACCCTCAGTGCGCATGTGCAGAACGGTTTCGTCACGGCACGGGTCTATCACGCCACACCGGTACTATGTACTTACTCTCGCACTCTGCGATATCTGGTTTTAATTACGCTTATTCAGAGCTCAAGAGCCGAATTGCATCTGTAGACTGGAAACTTTTTTCTTCGTTATATTCTAACAATAGTTTTTTTTTTTTTTTTTTTTTTTTTTTTTGTATCCCGTTATTTACTTTTACATCCAAACGAGAAATGTTTGTTTGGTTTTTTGGTTCTTGATAAAAAACATACCACCCAAACTATTTACCTCTCTCCCTCTCATTGCTGTTAAAGCTGTGATTGATTTTCCTTTTATAAGCTGTTTAAAAATGTGCACATAAATTGACAAGCAAAAAAAAGATATCATATTATTGCTATCGCATGTAGATATGTTTATTATAAACTTTTTCAAAATCAACAGATTGAGACATTGCTGAGGCTCACCAAAGTAATATAACAATTCTTTTTAGTAATAAAATTAATGATGCAGTGATTCTGAATATTATTAAACAAAGGTATTTTCAAGAAGTCAACATTCAAACATGAAAATCTGACACACTGAAATGACATACGATCCGTTATATTGTGTTAAAGAAGAAGAAAATATATGCAAATATAAACAAATGGCAAATAATCATTTAACTGGAATTACTGATTGAATTACTTTGTAATAGTGAATTACTGTAAATATATAGCGCATTTAAATAGTCGAATTTGTATCACTGAAATCCACGCTTACATGCGAGATATTCAAGTGTCGCCTATGTATTTGTCAAACGTATGACTGTTTGAAATTTTGTATCATTGTCTTGAAAACTAGTCAATATGTAATAACCTGGAATTTAAATTTGCTGGCATAAGTGAAGCAACTGTATTTGTTCTGCATTTTTTTCTTACATAATACGTTATATTTTGTATTGATATATCTACATATTTCAAATTTGAGTAAAGCAGCAAATTAAAACTTTCATTATTTTAAGGAATTTATCTTTGTCAAGAACTTAATCCCTTAATCCCTTTTGGCTGGCAAGTGAGAAAAATCCGGCAGATCACGCGTCTGAAAACGGAACGGTTCGGTCAGTGTTGAATGAACACGTGGTACCTGCTTCAAGTGCCCAGCGTCGCTTTTCATCAAGGTGTTCACGTTCTGAAAGAGCCTATAAATGCTAAGCTCTTTCGTCATTTCGCTGACCAAATGTTTGGTGAATTTGCTCAAGGATTTTCGGTCGCCGGCAACAGAAGTGGTATCGTCCGCGCATGAATACATCTTAACAAACCCATAACCCTGGAGGGACTGACTTAAGCGACGGAACTTTCTCCTATTCTGCTCGCTGCTGGGCTCGACGCTTGGGGTAACGGCGCGATTTTCATTAGTACTCCGAGTACTATTTTCTTTTTCGTCGTCACCATCTTCCGCTTGTTTACCACTTGCCCCGGTCTCGGCTGTAGGTGTACCACTGGGGTTCACGTCTCCAGCAGCGCATGGGGGACGTGCGTTGGACGACATCTCCTGTATTGGCCTAGATTTTGGCGAGTCTGCAAAGACTTCATCATCATAATCACCGAGATTATTAAAAGGAAGATGCTCCACGGTCTTCCTGCAATCTTTTGAAACTTGGTCATGGAAATGACCTGTTCCTCTGCAGGCATCGATAATAGAAATCTTCACCCTAGCCCCAGTCTGCATCATCAGCGTTTCAATTAGGCGAATATTTATGTATGAACTCGTCGTGGTTGCTTCCTCCCAGTGCCGGCTGTCATTGCTGTCGGGAACTATGAAGTGGAAACCATTCTCGGCTGATCCATGCCCAGAGAAGTAGAACAGCACAACTTGATCTTTCTTTGTCGGAATATTCTCTAAGGCTGAAATGATATGATCTTTGGTTGCGTTCTTCAATTTGTACACCTCGAAGGGAAAGCGAAGACTTTTGAGTTTCCGTTCCATGGCGTCGGCGTCGTTGGCACAGCACATGAGTCTGTTCCCCGTATTGGGATCGCTTTCGTAAGTGTTTCCTACAACAATGGCCTTCCTGTCCTTGACGTGACTATAGGGAGGTGAGCGGAGACCTGGAAACAAAATAAATATGGATACATGTAACCAGTACTTTTTATGTTTTTTTTTAATTTCATTTTGCCATATTCCTGTCGAACTGTATCATCTACATTTTCGCAACCATTTCTATTACCTGGGCATACAAGCGGGCATTACAATCATAGCAATCTTCTCTCTCTCTCTCTCAATTCAGTTCTCTACAGGTCGGAAGAGATCCATCAGCAGAATCAATGCAATGGTGCTGTCACTTGCGTTCTCACAAAGAGGTATATTTTAGTTCTGACTTACATTTATCATTGCTTCACATCCGTCTTTATATATAGATGGCTTTCCTATTTTTACCTGTAGGAATGGCAAACCGTCCACCAATTTTCTCCCAAAACACAACGGCAAACGTATTGCCCTCCTTCTTGGTCGACTTATATTCCCTGTGAAGAAAGAGATTTGATTTTGCTTTTTCACCATAAAATAGCCAACTAGTAAGAACAGAAATAATATAACCGTCTTGGCTGTCGATACTAAAAATGTCACAGTTCATTCACTTTCACTTTTGAAGAATAAATCAGAATAAATCAGAACAAGACTGAAATTTACGGACTGCAGCCCGAATCGCATTTACTATGTTAAAGACAAACGGTACATACCGCCCTATGGTTTCGTCACATTTTTTGTTTGGGCAGCGTACTGGACAAAACTCTGTATAATCCTTAAACCACCCATCCTCTGCCTATTGAGAAAATTCATTTTAGCAGTAAAAAAATAAGCATTTCTTTTAAAATCTACATCATATTTTATTTATTACCTTCAATGGAGCTCAACATCCTAATGCGTAAATATTGATATTTATATTCACACTCAGTCCCGCCATATTCTGTGCCATGGTCATATATCTCTTAAATACTTCAAATAGTCTCTGACTTAGAAAAAAGAACTTATTTACAAAATGCAGCTCTACTAGAAGTGCTGCTTTTTCATAATTTTGCAACCAGCTGCGTTTTGCAACAGTAGTTATCCACCCGAGAGGGCAAAAGAGTAACTTTCTCGCCGGGAATAACCTCATCACCTTTTATTTGTCAAGTTTTTATACTATGAAAACGTCACTGTTTGGTTTTGTTCTATGAATTCATTAGCATCGATGTGGTTTCTTAAAATTACCTTTGAAAGGTCTCCTCTGTTTCCCTTCAACTTATTACCTGTTACGGTTAGAATCTTCCTTGGGGTACCTGAAAATAGACTTTTTACTTGAGGACAAACCAAAGGAATTATGTACACCATGTCACACCTAACGCAGCGGCCTTTTACGTTCATTCAAAACAATGATGTGATTTCAATAAGCCGTTGATTCGGCAAGTAATGGCCTACCCAAATTTTGTCTATTACGTGGTGCAAATATGGCAATTTTGATGACCAAGGTAGCAGCTCGTTCCCTTGGTTTTGTAAGTTATCTGTTATTAATGCTCTGTGTGAAGTGACAATCTTATCGTGCAACCTAAAATTGTTCCTAAGGTGCTCCCTATCAAATGATATAGTCAAGTGGTTCCCAGATTATTGCTTTATATGATGTGGTTCAGGTTTTCATCGATGGCTTTCATTGGTGTTTTGGCACCAATGTGGTATCCACTCCAGATACTGACGCTGTCAATGACCCTGGTCACTTTGGACGCGGCACACGCTTAGTCGTAGGCCTCTTCAGCGTGTCTGTAGACTCTCTTTTGACTAGTTGAGCGGCACAGGTTAAATCTGACCTCAATAAAGAAATCCACGCGGTTTCAGTGTTCTACCCAAAAACGGTCCTGGTCCCCATTTCATTAGAGAAATAGACGACGATGTTTTGCTGTTAACAGAGGCTTCATCAGTGGTCGTCTGGTACTCTTACCTGCTAAAACCAGTTTGGTGTTCGCAATAAGAGGTCTCTAGCATTTACGGTTCCATAATTAGAGAGAGTTTTCAGTTTCGGCATCTAATTTCAGTTTCGGTTGTTTCTCCCGTGAAAATGCACTGATCGACCCTAAAATCCCGAAGATGAAAGAAGCCTCTTATCGTTACTCCTCACTATAATATGAGAGCTAAGGTCTGTGTAGTTTCTGAAAATTGGCAAAAACATTTTTTTTTTCAGAAAATGCCCATTTTAGAAAATTTTGGTCCGTTTGACCTTGAACTATAGATCAAATTCAAGGGCACATTTGAAATCTCCACATATGACTTTTAGTTGAGTTCTATTGTAATCTTCCCATAATTCCTTTGGTTTGAGAGATATTTAGCATTTAATTTCAAAAGTTTTGACAAGGGTGCGTTTCACAACCAAAGCCAATATAGAGGTGCAATTGATGTCACAGGCATGCTCTTAAAAAATATTTAGTGCACAGATTGCAAACTATGTTTGATTATTCTAGGGCTCCACATGAAGAAATTTGCATCAAAGTTTCACTCTCCTGGAACAATGGATGATAAAATATAATTCATCGTCTAACCCCAAAAAGGAACATTACGCCTACATTACTGTCGCAAATGCAAAACGTCCAACTTATACTCACTTTGAAAATTCAATCATCACTGGTTTTGGTCTTTAATTTATCTCCTATAAGTAAAAATTATAATAATCTTCTGTGTAGAGCGACTTTAGTTTGCTTGTCACTGAATATTAAAAAAAAAAGGTAAAATACATCCTACCGACTATATAATAAAGATTAAATAAATTATTTTCCCCTCATGATCCAAATAATATATCAGAAATGTCAATCTATCATGGAATCATAATGTATCACTGAGAATAAAATTGGAGTCATTTGACTCTCTAGTCAGAGTCCAGCACCCCTTGACCCTCATGGAGTTAATCTGACTCCTATATAAGGGTCAAATTACCCCACTACCAGAGTCTTTAGACTCTCTTATCAGAGTTAATCACCCCCTGGCTCTCATGGAGTCAATCTGACTCTAAAATCAGATTGTCAGAGTAAATACAGACTTGACATTTAATATGGAATATTTTTTTCGAAATAATTTTTTATCAGTTTTTTCCTATTTTGCTGACTGATAAATGAAAATAAGGATTAAAATCGTGTTTTAATAACTTTAAATTATCTCTTTGATGTCATTGTGACATCAGTTCATTAATGGAATTCGCCAGAGAAGCAAACAAAAACACGTTGCCTATTCCATGTCATACGACTCCCATTAAAAGAGATATTTTAGATCTCCATATTTTCCAAATTATCGTCTGTAAAAGGGTAATACGCTCCGCAAAAGACCCTCATGTCAGTTGCTAGTCACAGTAATGGTCGTTGTTACGCCTGGCCTCTTCGTGGCTGTTGCCAGCGCTCTCAAGCGGCAAGGCATTTCTTGGGGGTAGGTTTTTAGAGTTCAATCTGGAATAGCATTCNCAGTTGTTTTGCCCCGACTGGTTTCATTGCATCTTCAGGGGGTTTGTTTATTTTGGTTGCTAAGTGATGTTATAAAGACTCAATGTGATGTCTCTGACAATGGGTATTTGATTGTTGCTTTTACCAATGCTTTAGAATCAGCTATTACCTGTTTAATGTAGGTTTAAACTTATTAATAAAGAAATTTTCTTTAATTTCCCTTTCTGTTTGGGTTGTTTCCCTAGTGAATTTATAAAATGGGAATTCCCGAAATTCGAAAGCATCTTATATTTCGAGTGTGCGAAAGCATGGCGATTCCTCGCTATCCCATATCTCGAAAGCCTCGCAAATCGCGATCGTACGCTAATAGCGAAATCACCATTAGTTTCGAGGCTATTATTTGCGGCGAGCAAAACCCGTCGCAATGGCCTCTGCGTATACACAAGTCGTCATTTTAATGTGTCTTTCATGTTATTAAACGTCGCGGCAAGTTTGGGTTGCTAGTGATAATAGCATATAACAAAACATATAACAAAAACATGGAAGCTTATGATTGAATCACTCGGTACCTCGGATAGAAAAACTTGCGGTAAATATTCACGTAAAGAATGCTAAAGTCATGTTTTATTATGCATAGAAAATTCAAAATTAAACATTGCATACATCATTTGATATTTTCTGATGAATATAATTCATCTGTGTAGTCTATTGATAATAATCATAAATTTAAAAGTGTCATTTTCTACACAAAATGAAAAAGCAGAAACAAAGCATTCGGTCGCACCGTGACCTTCCTCAATGTCTATTATTGTGAGTCTGAACACTACTCACCAATGTGACAGTAATTGTGTCAGTCCAAGCTTCGTTTATTGAATTGTTTTTGACATGTTATTAGTGACATGTTATTACCGACAGAGACAAAAAAAAAGGGGGTGGGGTGAGTTGAGATTTCATGTGACCTAAATCCAAGAGATGGGGACACAAGTGCTTGCGGGCTAGGAGGAAAAGCGGTAACGGTGGCTTGTTTCCGGCGCCAGAACGCGAAGCAGGCGGATCCGGCGGATCCAGCGGAGCCATACGAGACGGGTCGGGACTAAAACCATGAGTACCGCCAGCGCATAAGCCGGTGGTACTAATTTTCCTTCCACAAGCTGGAACTGAGACTCGACTTCCAAGTTTTTGACCACCGATACGTATATTGTGGTAAGGCCTACTTTCTCAGTCCCCCCACCCCCACCCTATAACCTTCACATTTTTACTTTTTCTACACGGTTTCTCGTTTAAAATAATTATATCACAGCTGTTGAGTGAAATATTTCTTTCATTATCCAAGGTCTTCTTTTTGTTTTAATCGTAACATTTGATGCCACATTTAACACACTAACCTTGTTCATCCTTAAGTACTGGAACACGGACTCCAAACACTCGACCAACAACTGCACTCTCCTCGTAGACTATCTTGGATGAAACTGGATCCTTGGGATCGATGTCTTCCAGTTGGAATAAATTTTCTCTACAAGACTCACACCACAACCATCCTGTTGTGCAATAAATAAATAAATAAATAAATGAATAAATAATGTGAATTTTGTCACGTTCTTAATAACAATAAACTTCATATTATCAACTTGATGTTATCCTTTGAATATAATATGATTTTAAACATGTTTATACAATAATGATAATTAAAATAATAGCAAGATAATAGTTCTTAATATTGCCACGAAGAGAGTAAACAAACGGTGAAGATTTATATATTAGTAAAATTTAAAAAGGTACATGTAGTAAAAATAATGTAGTTTCCACCTTACCTTTCAGGTGGGGTCCATGTAGCTCCTTGACAAGTAAGCCGTAGAAACGCCGGTCATCATTTTGGAAGCGCCTGGAATTAAAAATATTTCCTATCTGGCATTAGGATACGATTTTAAGATATCAAAAATAAAGCCGTTACAACGTTTTTATAAGGGCAATAACAAGAACAGTTTCACGGCTAGGGCATTATGTTATGTTATGAAGGCTGTAGATGCTCTTTTCAGAAGAACTGCGTTTGCCTTTTCCACCGGAAAAGAAAGGAGTAGAATCCGGTGTCCAACTATTTGTATAAATATAGAGTATATAAAAGAACAAACATACCAACCAAGGAACCGCTTGCAGTCCCCGGAGCATCTGCATTCAACTGCCGTAAGACCAACAAACCAATCACTCTTTACCTGTAAAAATACATATACCGATGACAATGTTGTTTAACATCTTATGCCGATAAACTTTTGCCAAAGAGTGGCGTGTTCACAAATATGTCTAATCCATGTTGTAAATATTCCATACTTCATACATTAAGGATGCCCGATAGTAAATTAAATATAAAACGGTTCTCTAAGGAATTTACCCAAACCTACTTCATTTTTCTCACTCTGGCACTCAATGTCAGCATCTTCTACAGTTAGGAAAACGTGGTAATCATCTACAATGAACACAAATGATACATGATACCACTTCGAAAAAAGTAGTAATGGTTGTTCCAGCAAAGACAAAAAAATCACTCGCCTTCATTTCAGAAAGGTAAATGAAATTTAAAAAAATATTTTCGGTGGGTAGCCAACGTACTTTACCACACTTTTCCACACCGTTGATAAACGTACTTTACCACACTTTTCCACACCGTTAGCGACTGCGGACCGGGGCCATGATTTGAATCAAGTAGGGCTACATGTATCAAAAAAATCTACGGTGAAAAATGGGAAACATTTACTTGAAAGTCAAGCAAGTTTAAAAGAAGATGTGATATTTTCTATCTAATTTATCCTTAGCCCAATGATTATGCAATACAACAAATTACATTGAAAGTACATTAATTGTTTTAAGTAATTATGCGTCGAAGGCGATAGTTTCCGATAGAGGTAAATGATTGAAAACAGTTAATACCCATCCTGTTCTTCAATACCTGGGTTTAAAGCAGACAAAAGAAACAGGCGAATGAATGAAATTAATTTAAGCAATAACAAGAAATATATTTTTTATTTACATTTTAGTTTTCGTGCAAATATGTGATAATGAAAACTGATAGCTAATAAAAACGCAATTTTGCCTTTTTTTTCAACTGAAAAGAAAAGGCAAATTTCTCTTTTATTTATCGCATTTCCTTGATGTTCTTTAAATGAAAAAAAAAAACGGCCGTTTGTGTCAGTATGTCGATATCTAACGACATGGAAATCCCCCCCCCCCCCCATTCCATACCACTTACTTGCTTGATCTTTGAAACTGTGAACTTGCGTATGAACTCTTTCATTAAAAAGATTAATGTCTTCCGACCCGTGAAATCCAGATCCAATAGGCACGTGATCTCTCAAGTTCACAATGCGGTCCCTCCATGAAACCCTGTGGTCACATCGGCGGCATCTTAGGTACAACTCTTTGAGAGCATTGCAAATAAATAAATAAATGAATAAAATACACAAAGATAATGTGACATAATAGTTTCAGTATATCGGAGAAAGAAGTGTTATGTTTATAATAATACATTATGTATTTATATTAATGATAAGTCCATGTGTTGTGGGGTCATCATATCCAACCTGATGATTAAGCTAACTTGGTAGTCATTTGATTACTTGGATTGTTAAATTAGGTTGATGCATGCATGTGGTTTGGGAGGAGGTGAGGAGTGCTTGCAACCTTCATTTACCATTGGCCTGCATGTAATTAGTGTGTTTTAGAGAACTGCACTAAGTATTGTGTAATGTTGCGCAATAATTGTAGTGGCACAGGAAAGCTGAAACAAGATTTAGCTTTAGTATGAGTAATTTATTTCTCCAAAACTAAACCACAACAAGCACTGCTGCAAAACGGCGTCCTTCTGCCGTGTGATGCTTCACCGAACAACCGACAAGAGAGCATTGGCCTAACCCATGCTTGGTTGTACGACCAATATTGGCCCAATATTCGTTTGAAAGCCAATTAACCAACGTTGACCCAACCTATAGGCCTATGGTTGCTCATCGGTATGACGTTGCACAGACGTTGGCCCAATGCATCATACATCTTCTGAGAGTACTCAGCTAGGCCGGAGGTGAGCCCACTAGAGGACGATACCGCTTTAACCCAGGGACGTGAAATGGAGGGTATAGCCTTTAAGTGTGTAAAAGTGCCCATCATTATTTATTGGCATAAAAACATCCATAGAAATGGTGTGCACAGCGCTATTAAATTAGGCAGAGGCACAAAAATCCCATAACGTCATACAGAGCAATTTGGACTGAAAAACACATTTATTTTTTTTCTTTGCTATCTGGGAATGCCCAAACCAAAATTTCCGCGAAAAGAGCGCACGTGGCAGCACTGACCAATCCAGTAGCTTCAGTGCCTGTGTTTTATATTTAGACGCGCCGCTATCAGCCACATGAACACCCGCGGTCGTCATACACACAGTACCGAAACGCTACGCGGTGACGACTTCAGCGATATAACGTGTTCAGTACCCTACAGGTTAAAGTTTCACACTCTTTGTCAACTGAAATTACAAAAAAATTTCATACTGCAAGGGATTGGGAGAAGTATAAAGGCACGTTTTAGATAGACTTAGCCTATTGTGGATAGTAAATATCGTGTAGTTAGTTTTATTTCGACAGAACTATTATACTGGCACGTCTTGTTCACTAATACATGTAATTACAGTTTGTATGTCTTATGGCTACATTTTAACAGATAATACAAGATCAAATAAAATGCATGCCAAGCCTGTTGAGGTAACGCTGAAATAGAAGGACTTCTTAGAGCATTTAGAACATTTCTGGCACTAAATCACTAGAAGGAAGAAGTGAGTCAATAATAAGATAAAATGTACTAATAAAAAACAAGCTTAATGTTTTGCTTACATAATGATAGCTTTCACACTAGTGGATAAAATCTAATATACCTGACAATTAATCACTAAAAGGATGAAGTAAGTCAATAAAAAGATAAAATGCACAAATAAAGAACAAGCTTAAAGTGATAGCTTTCAAACTTGTGGATAAAATCCAATATACCCGTGTGGTGATATCGAATTTAATGGTGTACTTAACAAAAAGAGCTGCAAAGCGAAAGTGGGAAAATACGTCTGTTAAGATAACTATGAAGTATCTTAACATACATCTTTTTAAGGTAGCTCGTAAATATGAAATATTTCTTAACAGTATAGTACCTTCTTGGTGTTTTCCGTCCAGCTTTTCAAGCATGAGACCGTAAAACGTTGGGAGGTTGGATGTCTCGTCTTTTGGCTTGTAAAAACTGTAAAAATGATTAAAAAAAACACAAAACATGAATATTACCCATCTCTTCGTGGGAACATTTCTTATATATCTGACCAAATAAAAGTTTGAAAACATTTAGATATTCTTCAACCAATCCCTATGCCGTTTTTATGGTAAGATAGAACAAACTATACTGAGTCCACAAAAAAGTTTCATTTTCTCTAAAGTTACAATTGTCTTCATTCACAAGCTATCTGTTTGTAGAATATTCGAAAAAGAGCGTTCATGTCTACTTCTCACCAGTTTAAATTTGCAGGGAGTATTAGAACTGTTCCATATACAATTATCTGACAGAATATCTTATTTGAGATGTTCGATGAACGGTTCTCCACCGTTTTAGATATTTACCTCCCAACTATTTTTTCGCATTTGCAGCAGTAGCATCTCAACATGACGTAATGCTGAAACCACATCAGTTTGGTCCGCGTCTGTAAAAGTTGTTATCGTTGATGCTATTATAATCATGGTAATTTAGAATAGCCGCACAGACAATTACATCTACACGATATAATATAGTTATAAAGAAAGGCAAATAAAATATAGCTAAGCGATTTTAGTTTCTTTAATAGCCAAATCAGTTGCTTTAATAAAATAGACCAACATAAGATCTGGGGTGTGAAATTGCTGATCCGGGTTCTGCTTGAATTTTCAAGTGGAAAAAATGGGATTCTGAGCCCTCCTAAGTATGTTTTTAAAAGCGATATTTTCCAATTTTCCAGGGGGAAAGAGTGTTTTTTTATGGGGGGGGGAGTGGCATTTCTTTATTGATTTATCCGATCTTATATTTAGCGTTACCTTTTTTTCCATGTATACGTTGCAGTTTTCCTTTACACACACTATATCGCGTTTGCACTCTAAAAAGAAAAGTGGGTCAGTAAAAAAATATATATACCAGGTAAAAGCAAGGCCACGCTTATATAGGGATAGTTTTAACAAAACCAGTTTTAGTGCGGTGATATTGACGTAAATGGTACTCTTGCAAACAGAAAAGTGCGTCTGGTTTTTCCCCGAAAAGCTGCCACGACCTTGAACACTATAAATGTCGTTTAATCAGCTCTGACATTGACTCTTCTATAATATGTGGCATATGTACACCAAATGATGACATACAAACACGTACATTTTATAGGCATCCCGAAATAAAGTTATTTTTTTAATTTTAATTTTGTTTTTGTCCCTATCAGTTTTACTGTCTCCGAATACGTTCACACAATTCCCCACTCAATCGCCCCCCACTACAAACACCATCC